AGTAGAGACGGGTTTTCACCGTGTTGACCAGGATGGTCTCGATCTCTTGACCTCGTGATCCACCCGCCTCGGCCTCCCAAAGTGCTGGGATTACAGGCTTGAGCCACCGCGCCCGGCCTACTTCACCATTCTATACCCTGTCACTTCTATTCTGATGCCAGCTCAGGACTAATCTTCACATCTCTGGATTCCACCTATCACCCATTTTCCTCACATTTCCATCTGCAGTGGACTCCAATACTGGCATATCAGTTTAGTATTAGGAAGTGTGTACACATTGCTAAGCCATACCTGACCAACAGCTGCTTTGTTATATTTTCTTTGGCCTAGACATATCCTTTTATATATCACCCACATGCTTTATAAAAGTCCTTTAGATGTTTGCATAGGAAGGAATTGTAGACCCTGCCTCTACTCCCTGTAGTGCATGTATTGTTGGTTCCTTCACATCATGTGGCCCCCTGCCTTTTGTTACCATTCTAACCCAGTAATATGAAGAAGCCTTACCTTCAACCTAAAGGCAACATTCGGTTCCTGCAATTATTTCCATGGAGTAATACCTCTGTTTGTTAGATAAACTTGTCACAAACAAGTGTATCTTACAAACAGAAATATTAGTCCATGGAAATACTTGCAAGTATTTCCCTTCAGAAGCTTGCATTTTACCAGCATTTTCTTTCTTTTAGGTTGTTGGTATGGAGCAAAAGACGAGACACCTTCTAAGCAGACCCTTTCTATACAACAGCAGTCTCCCCTCAGGTCACATTGGACAGGAGTATGTACAAAGAAGGCCCACCCCTGGGGAGTGTGTGGCCCTCTCCTGGGAGATATCTTACACCAGAGAACACAACACAATCAGAAATTGAATAGTTTTGGGGCATGTGAAAAAAAATTAGATGACAGTGCAAACCATTATCAAGATCAGAAGCAGCACATTGGAGAGAAATCATACAGAAGCAATGCCAAGGAAACATCATTTGTAAAGAACTGTAAATTCCATGTGTTACATGAGCCATTTGTCTTTCATGAGGTTGGGAAAGACTTTTTGTCCAGCTTGAGATTATTCCAACAAGAGGACATTCACACTTCAGGGAAGTCAAATATTGAAACTAAGCATGGGACACCCTTTCAGGGTGGAAAAACTCATTACATCTGTGGAGAGGCCACAACACCCTTCAGCAACAAACACTCACTTGCCCTTCACCAGAGACTTCTCCCTAGAGAAGGACCTTTGTGCAGTGATTCTGGGAAATTCATTAGCAAAAGTAATAGTTTCAATAATCATCAGGGAGTTCACACTGGGAAAAAACCTTATCAGTGTGGACAGTGTGATGAATCATTTTGGTATAAGGCCCACCTCACAGAACACCAGAGAGTTCACACTGGAGAAAGACCTTATGAGTGTAGAGAATGTGATAAATCTTTTAGTCATAAGCACAGTCTTGTTGACCATCAGCGAGTTCACACTGGAGAAAGACCTTATGAATGTGATGAATGTGGGAAATCTTTTAGCCATAAGCGCAGCCTTGTTCACCACCAGCGAGTTCACACTGGAGAAAAACCTTATCAGTGTGGAGAATGTGGAAAATCGTTTAATCACAAGTGCAACCTCATTCAACATCAGCGAGTTCATACTGGAGAAAGGCCTTATGAGTGTATGGCATGTGGGAAATTATTTAGGAGCAACTCCCACCTAAAGGAACATCAGAGAGTTCACACTGGAGAAAGACCCTATGAGTGTAAAGAATGTAGGAAGTCATTTAGGTACAAGTCACACCTCACTGAACACCAGAGAGTTCACACTGGAGAAAGGCCATATGAGTGTAGAGAATGTGGGAAATGTTTTCATCAAAAGGGCAGTCTCATTCAACATCAGCAGATTCACTCTGGAGAAAGGCCACATGAATGTGGAGAATGTGGGAAATGTTTTCATCAAAAGGGCAGCCTCATTCGACATCAGCAAATTCACTCGGGAGAAAGGCCACATGAATGTGGAGAATGTGGGAAGTGTTTTCGTCAAAAGGGAAACCTCATTAAACATCAACGAGTTCACACAGGAGAAAGACATCATGAATGTTGAAAATTTGGCAAATCTACTGGTAAAAAGGGCACCCTCATTCAACATCAGTGAGATCACACTGGAAAGAGCTTATAAGTGTGGAGAATGTGCAAAATCTAGTCAAAAAGTTGGCCTTATTCAACAATAGCAAGATCACAATGGAAAAAGGCCTTGTGAGTATAGAGAATGTATGAAATCCAGTACATAGAAGTTTTACCTCAGTAAATAGCAAAGGAGTCACACTGGACAAAGACCTTATAGTTATGGGGAATTTGGCAAATTACTTAAGAAGTACCCCCTCACTGAACACGAGAGTTCACAGTTGAGAAAGGCCATATGACTGTAAGGAATTTGTGAAATTAGCCAGAAGAGCTGCATTACTTACTATTCATAGAACATTCACAATGGAGAAAGGCCATATAAATGTGAGAAATCATTTTCCTACAGCTCTGCATACCATGTTCATAAGAGTTCACATTGGACAAAGCCTTATGAGAGCTTTGAGTAGAAAATGCTTTGTGGGAAAACTCTGGTCTCTAATGGAGAGTTCCTACTAGAGAAAGGCTTAACAGTGTAGCAAATGTGGAAAGACATTTACCAGAAGCTCTGCCCTGCGAGTTGACACTAGAGAAAGCCCTTCTCAGGGAAGTAAATTTGGAAAATTGATTAGTCAAACCTGTATGACTTCAAGATCAGAGTTCACACTGGATCAAGGGTTTATGGTATGACAAATGTGGCACATTATTTATCTAAATGTCTAGCTTTATTATGCACAAACAAGCTCCTGCTGTGGAAGTGCCTTTTGAGTGCAAAGAGTTTGATGAAGGCTTTACTTTTCTTTCACTGGATGCCCTAGAATGTTGACAGAAGAAAAATACCATAGATGTACAGGAATATTTCTTGTCCAGTGTAACTCTGGGAGAGAGCACTTATGAGGACACCATCAACCTATACTGAATGTCATACGTCCAGTAGCTGCATAAATTCCAGGTATATGGGAGCTGTATTGCATTTCTCATTTTGCGCGTGTCCCTTGCCAGATTTATTTCAATTAGGTTTCTGGCAAAAGCCATTTTACCTCTACCACTTTGCTGGTGCCCACAGTGTCTCACTCATGTACTCCATCATATTCCAGAAAAAAAGTTCGGTTGTCTCCCATTCTGCAGTGGGATTTTTGAGTAGCCTCTGCACTCATTCCTTTCTGATTTCTCTTTTTATTTTTTAATTATTTTGTTTTTTGAGATGAAGTCTCACTCTGTCACCCAGGTTGGAGTGCAGTTGCATGATCTCAGCTCACTGCAACCTCCACCTCCCTAGTTCAAGCAATTCCCCTGCCTCAGCCTCCCGAGTAGCTGGAATTACAGGTGTGTGCCACCATGCCCAGCTAATATTTTTGCTGGTCTCAAACTCTTGATCTCATGATCCACCCACCTAGGCCTCCCAAAGTGCTGGGATTACAGGCCTGAGCCATTGCGCCCGGCCGCCTTTCTCATTTCTCTATGAGGAGTTGGGCCATGGACCTGCTTTGGTTTTGGCCTAGAGCAGAAGTGTCCAATGTTTTGGCTTTCCTGGTCCACACTGGAAGAATAATTGCCTTGTGCCACATATAAAATACACTAACAGTAATGATAGCTGATGAGCTTTTTAAAAATCGCAGAAAACCATCATCATGTTTTAAGAAAGTTTACTAATTTGTGTTGGGCTGCATTCAAAGCTGTCCTGAGACACACTCGGCCCACAAGCTGCAGGTTGGACAAGCTTAGCCTAAATAATTTTTCTGATTACCTGACAAGATGGGTTGACCTTCCTAGGAATCTTGTGATTCTCACGATTCTTAAGATGGATTTTTGCAGCCTCTAACTCAGCAACCCAAGCACAACCTGCCTCATTGTTCCAGTTTCTGCTGTGATGAAGTTCTTGTTTAAGCTTCCTTCAATGTTGGGAATTGTATTCACTGTATTGTGTGAATTGTTTATTCATTGCTTTGTGTGGTTTGGATATGACATGGTTCTGGTACTATGAAGAGTTGAATAGCTTTTGTGAGTCTGTGTGGACAGTATGTGTGACTCTGAGGGGACAGTATGAAGGCAGAATATAGCTCTGCATTTGTGGCCTAGTTTGGATGGCTGTCTAAGGCCTCTAAAGAAAGACTTCAGGGCTTTGTGGTCTTTATTTTTAGACCAAATAGTGCAATAATTCATGTTTTCATTTTTGTAACACTGTAGTGCTTCTGAGAACAGCAAAAAATTATTCTCTAGTTTATAAGGAATATTGCATTATGCTTAGTAGTGGTGAAAGAAATCAGTTCTCGAGTCCTACAGTGCATTCATGTGTCCTGAAGTCCAGAATTCTGTAGGATAGTGTCCTACATTATAAACCTGGAGGAAGAAATCATAATCTTTTAATTTTTATTTTTTTAGGGACATGATGTCACTCTGAAACTCAGGCTGGAATGCACTGGCATGGTCATACCTCACTGCGGCCTCAAACTCCTGGGCTCAAGTGATCCTCCTGCCTCAGCCTCCCGAGTACCTGAGATTAGCCCAGGTAATTTAAGAATTTTTTGTAGAGATAGAGTTTTGCTATTTTACACTGACTGATGTTGAACTCCTGGCCTCAAGCAATCCTCTAGCATATGCCCTCGAAAGCACTAGGCTTATAGGTGTGAGCCACCATGCCCACCCACAAATAATTTTTATAGAATTAGCATTTCTAGGTAGTCAAGCCGACTGTGACAGAATAGTTGGAATATACTTTTTTAAAAAAGGCATCCACAGTGATGCAGTTACTATGTCTGTGATGGACAAACAGGTACAGAAATTTTCACAACCTCTGTAATTAGGAATCTAGTGTAGCTTAGGTCATTGTCAGAGTAAATCTAAAGGTTTTGTGGATTTCTATAGCCTATCTGGGCTGCTTACCAAAAAGCCATCCCTGAATTATTAGGAGGAAGAGGATAGGGAGAAGGGAAATCTCTTAGTCTACTGATAGGTCCTTTGCAACCAGCCAGCATTCCAATTTAATCAGGTGGTAATGGTCTTCCTGGTTCATAAGTATTTGGTGTCACACAGTCTAGTTGCCCCCCTTAGAGTGTGATGAGAGTTAGTAGAGTCAATGTAGAATTGCATAACCTATTTGTCAAAAATACTGTTAAATCCAGAAAATCCTTTCAAATTAAATTTTTAAAACTGTAATAAGACTGGGCATAGTGACTCATGCCTGTTATCCCAACATTTTGGGAGCCCAAGGTGGGAGTATTGCTTGAGGTAAGGAGTTTGAGACTAGCCTGGGTCCCATAGTAAGACCCTGTTTCTTAAAAACAAAAAATACTGTCTTTCTCTCTGGCCTCTCCATCCTCCAAACAATCACTGAATTGTAATATTTGCTTAACAGATTAGTGTCAATTTTCTGGAATTTTATATGACTAACATGTTTCATCTTTTCATACCTGAGTACTCTCCTGAGTCCTATTTATTTTGATTTTTTTTTTTTTTAATTATTTCACATAACAGGGATATATATTTTGACATTCGTCAATCATGATATATAAGTAGTTCATTCTTTTTATCTTAGAATATGACATGCTTTAAAAATCACTGTATATACTGCTTATGGATATATTATTTCTTCTTGTTTTTGTCTGTTAGAAATAAAACTGCTTGTTACACACATTTGAATGCAGTTCTTCATATAAATAATGTTTTATTTCTCTTGTGTTAATTCCTTGGTGTGTAGTGCGCAACTCACGTGGTAGGTGAACATATACCCCTCCCAACCTCAGGGAGCACAGCTTACATTTCCAGGAGAGACTCCTTCCCTCCAGTCAAAGAGAGGAGAGGGAGGGATGAAAAAGACTTTGTCTTGGGACTTGACACCAGCTCAGCTACAGTAGGGTAGGACACCATGCTAAGGCCCCTATTCTAGGCCCTAGCTCTGAATGGCATTTCTACATATACCCTGGGCTGGAAGAAAACTCACTTTAGGCTTCAGTCCTGGCAGGATTCATCACCTGCTGACTAAAGAATCATTGGGCCCTGAATAATCAGCAGTAGCACACAGGTAGTACTCACCATGTGCCATTGGTGAGACTCAGGCATGCTGGATTCGAGTGTGACCCAGCACATTCCCAGCTGTGATGGCTTTCAGGAGTGGCTCCGGCTTGAGAAACGGAAGAGTAAAGAAGACTGCCAGCTGCCCCCTGCTGGCTGCGCGAGCTTGGAAGCGGCTTCCGGAATAAATAAGTAAATAAATAAATAAATGAAGAAAAAGAAAAAAGACTTTGTCTTACAGCTTAGATACCAGTTTGGGCCGGGCGCGGTGGCTCACGCCTGTAATCCCAGCACTTTGGGAGCCCGAGGCGGGTGGATCACGAGGTCAAGAAATCGAGACCATCCTGGTCAACATGGTGAAACCCCGTCTCTACTAAAAATACAAAAATTCAGCTGGGCATGGTGGCGCGTGCCTGTAATCCCAGCTACTCAGGAGGCTGAGGCAGGAGAATTGCCTGAACCCAGGAGGCGGAGGTTGCGGTGAGCCGAGATCGCGCCATTGCACTCCAGCCTGGGTAACAAGAGCGAAACTCCGTCTCAAAAAAAAAAAAAAAAAAAAAAAAAAGATACCAGTTTGGCCACAGTAGGGTAGAGCACCAAGTAGGCTCTTAGGGTCCCTACTTTCAGGCAGTGCAGTGGGACAATCTCGGCTCACTGCAACCTCTGCTTCCCGGGTTCAAGCGATTCTTTCGCCTCAGCCTCTTGAGTAGCTGGGCTTACAGGCGCCACCACCATGCCCAGGTAATTTTTGTATTTTTAGTAGACACGGAATTTCACCATGTTGGCCAGAATGGTCTCAATCTCTTGACCTCGTGATTCGTCCTCCCAAAGTGCTGGGATTACAGGCGTAAGTCACCGCGCCTGGCGGAGTATGGCCTCTTCTAAGACAGGACACCCTCTGCATCTGGACCTGGAGTCGCCATTTCCTAGCGCTCCTAGCAGTGGAGCTTGGCCCTTTCTCCCGAAACTTGGGTTGCGGGCGACCTTAAGCGCTGCGCATCTTCGGGAACTACATTACCCAGAATCCTCTCTGTGGAACGGAAGCGTGTCTAAGCCAATGAAGCTTCAGAGAAGAGCGCCATTGCCGGGGCACTTAACACCTAGCCGGGACTTCCGGCGTCCTAGCCGTGGCAGCTGTTTTGGCCTGTCGGGTCCATCCAGCTGTGCTGGGTCTGGATGAGTTCGAGAGGAGTGGTTGTGCCCATTGCACACAGGCGGAGCTGAGGCTCGGCGACGCCGTCGGTCGCGACCCGGGACAGGACAAGGACAGAAACCCCGCCGATCCCGCCTCCCCGCCCGCCCACAGAGTCATGGCGGCGGCCGCTCTGAGGGCACCTGCTCAGGTGAGCGCTGCGACCTCTGGGCCGCACCCAGCCTGCCCACTCAGACTTTGAGGCCCCTGCTCGTGAGGGGCGCCTCCTCGCGTCTCTGCAGTCCAGGCCTCTGTCAGGGACAGAGAGGCGCCGGCGGGTGGGATCCAAGTTGATGTGGTGAGCGCGAGCCTGGCCTAGGGTTCCGCACGGGCAAAGGCCCGGAGGCGGGGACTGAGCCAGGAGGATTTGGAAATCGGGAACATCTTGTGTGTACTGGGAACAAAATGTGAAGCGGAGTTCTGTTTTCTTACTTATTTCGGTTTTTTTTTTTTTGTTTGGAGACAGAGTCTCACTCTGTCTCTGAGGCTGGATTGCATTGGCGCGATTTTGGCTCACTGCAACCGCCGTTTCCCGGGTTCAAGTGATTCTCCTGCCTCAGTCTCCTGAGTAGCTGGGACTACCGGCATGCGCCACCATGCCCGGCTGAGTTATTTCTCCAGCACCAGGTTGAGGGTTGAAGTTTGACTGTGAGGACGCTAGAAGCCATGGACAATTTTGATCAAAGGAGTTAATCTGTGTTAGGGTTAAGATTTCCAAATCCAAAAGATGTTCAGAGGAAGAACAGAGTAGAAGGCGGTGATGAGGACATTGAAGCATTGAGGGGTTGAAACTGCTTAAGGTTACATAGCTGGTAAAAGGTGACATTGAGCACTAGGCCACAGAGACTCACTCAACCTGATGTCATCTGGCTCCAGGGCCAAAAAAAGCTTACAGAGAATCCTGAATCTATCAAATCCCAGGAGGGACACATTTATGAAAGCCCTGATTTTGGGCGCAATTCATGGCTATGGAAGCACTTAAGAAACTCACAGAAGGAAGTAGGGGATGCTCTAGTCCCTCACCCACATGTCCAGATCTTGGTTTTTTATTTTATAAATTTTATTTGGTATTCTATTTTATAAATTTTAAGTAACCAGCTTATTTTAAAAATAAATAACCAGCTTAGAGAAGAGGTGCCTTTTTTTCTTTGGCGACAGGGTCTCACTCTGACACCCGGGCTGGAGTGCAGTGATCACAATGTAGCCTCGACCTTCCCGGGCTCAGGTGATCCTCCCATCTCAGTCTCCCGAGTAACTGGCTAATTTTTGTATTTTTAGTAGAGAAGGGAGTTTTGCCATGTTGCCGAGGCTGGTCTCGAACTCCTGGGCTCAAGCAGTCCTCCTGCCTCGGCCTCCCAAAGTGCTGGGCTGACAGGCATGAACCACTGCACTTTCTAGAATTAAGGGTCATTTCTCCAGTCTTCTGATCTGGGGATCTTGGAAAAACCTCAAACCCCAAACCTAGGTCAGTGACATAGGTTATAGGGAGTTGTTGTCATGTCTGTCAACTGCTGTAAAACATGTGGCGGGTTAGCCAAGGAGCTGATACTGGGATGTGCAAATACTTAGAAGTGAAACTAGGCCAGGCGCGGTGGCTCACGCCTGTAATCCCAGCACTTTGGGCAACTGAGGTGGACAGATTACCTGAGGTCAGGAGTTTAAGACCAGCCTGGCCAGGTCATGATGAAACCCCGTCTCTACTAAAAAGACAAGAATTAGCCCGGCATGATGGTGGATGCCTGTAATCCCAGTTACTCGCAAGGCTGTGGCGGAAGAATCACTTGAACCAGGGAAGTGGAGGTTGCAGTGAGCCAGGATCATGCCATTGCACTGCAGCCTGGGAAACAGAGCGAGACTCCATCTCAAATTTAAAAAAAAAAAAAAGAAGAAGAAGAAGTGAAACTGGAGGGGGTGAAGTGATATTTGCAATTTCTTTTGTTTTGGTTTTTGTGTGTGTGTGTATGTGTGTGTGTGTGAGATGGGGTCTCACTCTGTCTCCCAGGCTAGAGTGCAGTGGCGTGATCTCAGCTCACTGCAACCTCTGCCTCCCGGATTCAAGTAATTCTACTGCCTCAGCCTTCTGAGTATCGGGGACCACACCCGGCTAATTTTTGTATTTTTAGTAGAGACGGGGTTTCACCATGTTGGCCAGGATGGTCTCTATCTCTTGACCTCGTGATTTGACCACCTTGGCTTCCCAAAGTGTTGGGATTACAGGTGTGAGCCACCACGCCCGGCCAGTGTTACCAATTTCTTAATGGGCTTTGTCTGGTTACAGAGTGGACAACACACTGTGGGGTTGAGGGAGGAGGAAGATCAAAGTGGCAGCTACTGCCCTATACCAGGTTAGGATTAATGGTCTAGAGTTGTAGCTTAGGCAATGTGGCTAGTTCTGAATTTGTGTTTTTTAAAGGGGCAACTCAATTTTTTAATGTGAACAGAGAGCTTGAGAGAATTCAGAAAACACCCCTGGATTTTTGGTCTTAGCAGCTGTAGCAACGGAAGCTGCATCAACTGAAATTAGCAAGTTCATATCAGATGTAACATTCACTAAGGCTGTCAGGAGGTTTGTTTTGGCTATTCTGAGTGAAAAAAACCCACAAGTATCTTGTGCTCTGCTCTCCCCCACGACAATCAATACTGAGTATTTCTGTGACTAGATATGTGTGGATGGTTTTCTTCATACATCAAATAGTTCTCCACTGGACATCAGATCCCGCAGGGTGAAGTCTCAGTCCCACGAAACTGTCTCCTAACCCCTTTTGATGCCCCTCACAAGCCCCAGGTTGTTTTTTCTTTACCTGTGCTTCTGACCGACTTAATATAAATCAGGTTCCCATGACACCTTTCTTGGCTTCCAATAAATTGCTAGAGCCAGTCACAAAACTTATGGAGACACTTTAATTTTCCAGTTTATTTTAAAGAATATTTATTACAAAGGTTACAGATGAAGAGATGCATAAGGGGAAGGAACCCAGAGCTTTTTTTTTTTTTTTTTTGAGACGGAGTTTCATTCTTGTTACCCAGGCTGGAGTGCAATGGCACGATCTCAGCTCACCGCAGCCTCCGCCTCCTGGGTTCAGGCAATTCTCCTGCCTCAGCCTTCTGAGTAGCTGGGATTACAGGCACGTGCCACCATGCCCAGCTGATTTTTTGTATTTTTAGTAGAGACGGGGTTTCACCATGTTGACCAGGATGGTCTCAATCTCTTGACCTTGTGATCCACCCACCTCGGCCTCCCAAAGTGCTGGGATTACAGGCGTGAGCCACTGCGCCCGGCGAACCCAGAGCTTTTATGATCTCCAGGCACACCACCATCCAGGAACTTCCATGTGTTTGTCTACTTGGAAGCTCCCCAATCCCTGTCTTTATGGGGTTTTATGGAGGCTTTTTACTAGGCATGATTGATTAAATAATTGGCCAATGCTGATCAACTTAACCATTAGCCCCCTCACCCCTTTTTGGAGATTGAGGTGTGGGGCTAAACTTTCCAGACCTCAAATCCCGACATAGGCTTTTCCCTGACCAGTCCCCATCCTATCTAGGGGTTACCGACCATCAGTCAACTCATTACCATTCAAAGTCACTTATAAATTTGAAAGTGTCATGAATTTTAGGAATTCTATACCAGGAAAGGAGATGACCAAATATGTATTTGACAATATTACAGCCATGTTAAGATTCTGAAATGTATTAGATACTATTTATTGGAGCTACCAAATAGGCAGCTGGACACATAGATGCAAATACCTGGGGAGGGGTTGTATTGGAGGTATCCAATATATGGTAAATACTGTGTGGACGGAGGTGAGTGAGTCATGGCTCACATTTGGGAGGCACAACCTTTAGATTATGGTGATGACACCAATAGGGGGACAGGAAGTGGGGGTTGGGTTTCCTGCTTGTGTATCTGGTGATGGTATTGGACTTTAGAAACACAGGTGAGATAGGTAAATGGCCATGAAGGGAGGATATATCTGACAGTCTAGTTAGGCAAGTGACGTAGGCTTCCAAGGAATGAATAGAGATGCACGCAGAAACATAGGAGTAGCTGAGGGAAGATGATACTCAGCTAGAGCTTGAGTTTATTTGCCACTTTGTGGCCTCACCAAGATTTTGAGATGACTTTGGTGTGTCCTGGGGTGTTTCAGCCTGGTGGATGTGGAGGCAAATATGGTAACCTTTTGAGAGTCACTAGGCCCGAGATTGACAACCAATGGGTCTGGGCTTTGAATGGTTATTTGAAATGGGGTTATGTGGACAGAAGGAAGTCATAGTTGCTGGGTGTGGTGGCTCACCCCTGTAATCTCAGCACTTTGGGAGGCCGAAGCAGGTGGATCACCTGAGGTCGGGAGTTCAAGATCAGCATGGCCAACACGGTAAAACCCCATCTCTACTAAAACTACAAAAAAATTAGTGGGCATGGCGTGGGGTGCCTCTGTAATACCAGCTACTCGGGAGGCTGAGACAGGAGAATCGCTTGAATCTGGGAAGCAGAGGTTGCAGTGAGCTGAGATTGCACCATTACACTCCAACTTGGACAACAAGAGTGAAACCCTGTCTCAAAAAAAAAAAATGTCATAGTTTCTGAGGAGAGCAAATGTAGCACAGAAGTGGAATAGCAACATAAATATCTGAAAACGTTAGTGGTTCTTTTTGTCTGTGGATTTATGCATGGAGGGCTTTATAGAATGACTTGGGGCTACCACCGCTATTGAGAAACGTTGGAATTCTGTGATAATTTTGGATTCCTTTTTAATTTACCAAGACTACTGTGCATGATGTCAGCCACATTATGGTGTAAACCCTAAATTTAAGGCCATTATCATGTGCTACCTTCATGTCTGGTGATACCAGTACTACCTCAAATGGTCTGACTGCAAATCCCCTTTCCCACTCTGCTCTTTTGGATAATGTACCCTAGCTTAACTACCCTTTTAATCAAGAGGACTAGGCAGAGTTCCTGGTTATTATTTATCTGTAGCACTTTCTTTTTTTTTTTTTTTTTTTTTTTTTTTTTTTTTTTTTTTTTTCTCTCACTTTGGGCAAATATTTGTAGCACTTTCATTTCTACTTACAGAGTTACTCAAACAAGCCAGTTGCAGCTGGGTTTGGTGTCACACCCCTGTGGTCCTAGATACCTGGGAGGCTGAGGTGAGGAGATTGCTGGAACCCGGGAAGTTGAGGCTTCAGTGAGCTGTGAATGTGCCACTATGCTCCAGCAGGGGTGACAAAGCGAGACCCTGTCTCAAAAATAAAAAATAAAAATAAAAACAAGCCAGTTGCATTCTTTCAAGGGAATCAGGGGCACACCCTCTTTATTCAGCAAAGATTGCTCCACAGTCCCCCTGGTCGCTCTCTCTTATGCATAGTGCAACCCCCATGTGGCTCTCTGTGGTGAGTGGTCCCCTGTTCTCTCAAGCTGTGAGCATATTTGATGATTAATGAACTTTCTTGATGACTTGTGTTCAGTGTCAGGTGTTGTGTGTTTGGCCATCACCACAACCCTAGGGTGAGACTCCTACTCTCGCCAGTAGAAGGAAGGGGGATTAAAATACTTTAACTTCTGGCAAGGCCGGAAAGAGGGCTATGGTGTGGGGTGGTAGTGGCAATTGGCATGTGTTTGTGATGTCCAAAGATGTGAAGGATGTGTACGTAGATAAGGATTATGTCTGAAAGGCCTTGGGCACTACATTGGGATTCACGTGACCTTTGCTATACCAGGGGAATTGCTAGAAAGGAGGGGATGGAACCCTTTATTTCAACACCACATCACAGACACCTGTTTGTTCACCTGCCTCTTGTTGCCAATGGCTGTTTGATATGATCAGTGGTCCCATGAGGACACAGTGGCACTAGTGGGCAAAGTTTCTCCTCTGAGTTGGAGAACCTGAGAGGTAGAAGATGGGCAAAGGTAGATATGTTGGAGAAGTGAATTGTGGGTCTTCAGCATGGGGGCCATTTGTGGTTTCATCTATCCCATCATAACAGAGCAGTGTGACCTTTGAAGATGTGGCTGTAAACTTTTCCCTGGAGGAATGGAATCTTCTGAATGAGGCTCAGAGATACCTGTACCGTGACGTGATGCTGGAGACCTTGACACTTATATCCTCCCTGGGTAAGGAATTCATATTCACCTGTGACCTGAGTTGTTCTCTGCCCCTCTCCTTTATGCCTCTTGGTAAGAATATCTTTCTCACATCAGGACCATGGGCACAGCTTCATTCTACAGTTGTCTGGAGAAGTTCTGTTGTTGGTTGGATTGAGGTGTGTGTACTGCCCTCTCCTTTTCTTGAGCGACCCAACCTGCTTTATTGCAGGCTGCCAGGGAAGGAGTCAGGGTCAGGAGTCTTAACGTCATCCTAATGCATCCCACCTTGGTTGTCATCTGCCTGTCTGGGTGATTGTGCAGATCCAAGGCTCCTGTTTGTCTCAAGTTCCATTTCCTTCAAGTAGGTCACATTTGTTCATGCCACAAATTGCTGTCACTGATATGGTCATTATGTACATGAACTACAACCTATTCTTGCAACACCCTACTTCAAAATTCTTTTTGTGCTATTTCACCAGGCACAATGTCACTCACCTGTCATCCCAGCTATTCAGAGGCTACTCAGAGCGCAGGAGTTTGAGGCCAGCCTGGGCAACATAGGAAGACCTCATCTCTAAAAATAAATAGGAAGGAATTATTTTTGTAATAATTGGTTTCCTTTACTGTGGAATATCAAATGCAGAGCTGTTCTGAGCCGGTATTGGTTATTCATCTGTCCTATTTTTCCGTTAGTACTTATATTATCCAGGTTCCATGTCGTTGCTCATCTTGGTGGTGAAATGAAGAGCCCCTGGTTGTCCCTAAGATATAAATGACTCCCGCTTTAGCAAGGACTTGGGACAGCTTGGTTCTGAAGAATAGTATGTGAGTGAGGGCATAACATCAGGACTCTATTCAAAGCATGCCACAGACCTCTTCTACTTGTCTAGTATTTTGGTGCCAATAGAAGTAGCCCCACGTTATTTCTGTCTTTGCTTCCCCATTCTTGAGAGTTTGCCAATTTATTAATCCTACACCTTGTCACTTCTGCTGCTACAACCAGCACAGGACTAATTTCAGTATTTTGGGACTCTACGTCTCACTTATTTTTCTTACTGCTCTGTCTGCTATGGTCTTCAATATTGGCTCATATGTTTTGTATTACGAAGTATATACCCATTGTTTTTCTTTTCTTTTCTTTGAGACGGAGTTTCGCTCTTCTTGCCCAGGCTGGAGTGCAATGGTGCGATCCTGGCTCACTGTAACCTCCACCTCCCGGGTTCAAATGATTCTCCTGCTTCAGCCACCCAAGTAGCTAGGATTACAGGTCACCACCACCATACTCAGCTAATTTTTTTGGTATTTTTATTAGGGGTTTTACCATGTTGGCATGTTGGCCAGGCTGGTCTCAAACTCCTGACCTCAGGAGATCCATCTGCCTCAGCCTCCCAAAATGCTGGGACTACAGGTGTGAGCCACCATGCCC